TTAGCTTGTTACGCTGCACTAATTTTTATCGAAATATTCAGATTAGGGATGGGAAATTAAATTCTATTTTTGGCTTGGTCACTTATTTTCATACGTATGCGGGCCTTTGTGTTGAAAAATGATATAATAAAATAACAACAATAATAATACGTTAGGTATGTCTGTAATGTTTATATAAAATTTTGGCCGAAACAAAATATGTAATTCGAACTGCCTTTTGGCTATTCTATTCAGATACTGGTGAAGTTGAAATATGATATAAGATACTTTGAAATTATCATTTTAAATCGAATTCAATGATATTATTAATATTTTATTAAAATTCTTAAATTTTTAAAACCGATTTGAAAATCATTTACTGTTAATTAATATTTTTATGACTATTTTTTAAAGTGTTTTCTATAATGTCATTTCGTTCACGAGAAACTGCGTGTTCCGATCCTCTATACTTTATCATATCTTATACAAACTACACAGTTAAGTATGAATATACAGTACATGATTTTGTTTCTTTTCAGATTTTGTTGAAAATGCTACCAGCAAAATATCTATCAGAAAACCGTACACACCAAAAGAAAATATAGTGCTGATGTCTCTGTGGTTATTAGGAAACCATGAGAGTTTCCGTGGTGTATCAGATCGATTTGGAATGTCCCAAAGTCATGCAAACACTGAGTTCACCAAGTTTTGTTATCAACTACTAAAACTTGCCCCACAGATCATAAAATGGCCAAAGGGTGAAGCAGCCCAAAAAGCAATTAAGGATTTTGCTGATTTAAGAGCTAATAGTTTGCCGAATATTGATACACTTGGCTGTATTGATGTAACACATATTCTGTTTTCTGTAAGAAAACATGAGAAGAATGCTCACATTAATAGAAAACAAGTGGCAAGTGTAACTTTGTAAGCCATTTGCAGTGCAGATTTAAAATTTATTGACATATTCGCAGGATGGCCAGGATCAGCAAATGATGCTAGAGTATACCGTAACTCTCCAATTGCACAAGCCATTGCTAATGATCCAAACCTTTTACCAAATGAGTCACACATTTTAGGTGACTGTGCTTATCCACTTAGCAGACACGTTCTTACACCTTTTAGAGACAATGGTCATCTTGGAAGAAAAGAAAAAATTTACAAGAAAGTTTTTAGCTCACCTCGAGTTGTTATTGAGCAGGCATTTGGTCATCTCTTTGGCCGTATGAGGAGACTAAAATATTTATATATTTTAAGAAGGGAGCTTGGGCCTTATATTTATATATTTTAAGAAGGGAGCTTGTGATTACTTCAGCATGTGTTATACACAATTTGTGTATTAAGTATAATGATGGTCCTTCACCAGAAATTGATAATGACCATGAGGAAATGTGTTCAGATAATCCTGAGGACTCATTGCAACACTGTGAAACTGGATTGTCAAAACGAGCAAGGATAGCTGAAGATGTATACCTGCATTATCAACTTTTATTATTAAACAGAAATTAGTTTATTTTAAATATTGTAAAACAATGTATTTTTTATAAATATATAAAGCAAAACTTTTGTAAATTAAATTTCAATAAATATATAAATTTTAAAACAAATTTTTATTGTTATTTTCTTTTTACAGGCTCTTTTATTACTTCTGTTAAAATATTCCAATGCTTGTACTCTTCTTTTCTCTAGCATCTTCATTTCACCCCACATCTTTTGATCAATTTCATTTTTTTTTCATTTCTTTAAAAAACCAAGCTGGTGCCTGTGCACATCTGTCTTGCTTTCGTTTTTTCGATGGTCTTGAAATGTTTTCAGATGAGTCAAGGAGAAAGGGGTTATAATTTTCAGATGGTACATTAGAGCAGGATGAAGATGGGGATTAAGAAAGAACAGAAATAGACTGTGAAGGGGTAGAGGTAGGAGAGGATGCAGAGGAATGTGAAGGTACAGGAGAGGGTACAGAATGAGTGGAAGATTCAACAGAAGACAAGTATGGGGAAGGAGCCAAAGAGAGGTTTGACTGTAAATAGTTATCAGGAGGTACATTGTTACAATTTTTCCCAAACGCCATTGTAAAGGTCTCAAAATAAGGCCAACAAATACTGCTTTCACCAGATTTTCTTGCTTTGTCTATATTTTTTTCTATAAGTCCCCATTAAATTTCTCCACTTGTGTGCACAATCTTCACCAGTGAAAGAAAGTCCTTTTTCACACATAATGACTGATATTTTGTTCCATAATTTCTTTTTTATTACAGGCTTACAAAATTCTTTTTCCAACTCAATTCACAGAACATTCACTTGTAGTCAGTCAGTAGTGTAGCCGAGAGAGAGAAAAAGAATATGGCGGACGGACTGCACGTGTTTTAATAGCTCCCTCTGGATTTTCAGATGCAGCCACATTACAATAATTCGGCCACCACACACTCCCCCACCAGTGACAACGAGAAGTTTGCCGTTATATAGCTACAAATATTACGGTTAACCCGTCATAAATATCGCGGGTTGAATCGGACCCGTCGACCGGATCTGGTTGCGACCGGCGCTCGTCTGTCATCTGGCGTCGTCGCTCCTGTTGTCGTCTTAATAGCTGTCTTCTGCTGTTTGGAAGTTAGAGGAGGCCCTCCAGACTTCTTATCTGGTCTTGCCTCGATGAATGCCGGTTTTAACCGATCTATGTTTATAGCAATCTTTTGACTGTTCGATAGTGAAAACCTTGTCGTCTCTTGCTATAACACGAAAAGGACTCAAATAGACTGGTTGTAATGAGTTCCTTACCGTGTCGTCGCGCACAAATACCTGTTGGCACGAGCTCAGTTCCTCGTGTACGAAGCAAGTTGTCCTGTTTGGTTGTCTGGTGGGTGTAGGGCGTAACTTTCCATGGTGTTCTTAAGACCCCCGACGAAGTTTGTTGGGTCGGGGGTTGTAATTGCTCGGAGTAAAAAATTCACTCGGAAACCTAAGGTTTTCACCATAAATCATTTCAGCAGTGGAGGCCTGTAGGTCTTCTTTGAACGCTGTTCGAAGACAAAGGAGAACCGTTGGGAATACATTTGCCCAATTGTCTCCTCCATGGCAACGTAGGGCTGCCTTAAATGTGCAGTGGAGCCGTTCCACCAGCCGGTCCATTCGCTGCTGGATGATATGGGGTTGTGCAGATCTGTTTGATGCCCAGAGTTGTGGATAAAGAGTGGAAAAGGTTGGACTCAAATTGGCGTTCTTGGTCCGAGGTCAATATGAGCGGAACGCCAAAGCGACATATCCAATTCGTGTAAAAGACTTTTGCGATCGATTCCGCAGAGATACCGGCGACTGGAATACACTCAGGCCCACCTGGAGTACTGTACTTATCGATAACGATGTAACGATGTATCTAAAGCTTTTCGACGGGGGAAAGCGGACCCACTATATCTATATGCACATATTCGAAACGGGAACTGGGAGTGAGAAAGGTGCCTGGTTTTGAGCGAATATGCTGTGCACCTTGGAGCGTTGGCACTGGAGGCAAGTGCACGTCCACTTGGTAACATCCGATCGCATTGACTTCCAGCAATATCGCTCGCTTACTAATTTTGCTGTTTCGCGGATACTAGGATGTGCCAGACCATGAACAGAGTCTAAGACCTGTTGTCTAAACTTCTTGGGGACAAACGGCCTGACCCTGTTTGTTGACACATCGCTGTACAGTTGTGCTACGGAATCATTTATCGGCAGCAGCTTCAGGACTAACCCGGTCGAGTTGAGATTGTTAAGTAACGCCTGAAACTGGTCGTCAGTCTCCTGAGCTCTGGCCATTTCCAGGTAGTTAATTGGCAGACTTGTGATTGTTTCTAAACGCGACAGCGTGTCGGTTACAACAGTTTCTTTGCCCTTGATATGTCGAATATCCGTCGTAAACTGGGCGATAACATCTAGCTACCTAACTTGACAGGGTGAGCATTTGTCCGATTTCTGCATAAAGGCATAGGTCAAGGGTTTGTGGTCAGTGTGTATTGTAAATGCCCTGCCTTCTAGCATATGCCTAAAGTGTCGGACTGTCATATAAGCCACAAGTGATACCCTATTGTACGCGCTATACTTGCGCTCCACTGCTGTTAGCTTACAGGAAAAAAGGTTAGAGGCTTTCATTCGTTGTGCTGTTTTTGCTGCATGATCGCACCTACAGCAATGTCAGAAGCGTCAACAATCAGTGCCGTCGGCGCCGTGGGATCGGGATATACTAGTGTTGCTGCTCGCGCTAATTTATCTTTGCACTCCTGGAAAGATTTTTCTGAGTCTTCGTCCCAATTAGTCCCACGATTGTCGTTCTTTGCTGCCCCTTTAAGGTACTCGCAGAGGGGCGCCTGTGATTTTGCCGCATGGGGAATGAAACGTCGGTAAAAGTTCAGCATTGCCAGGAACATACGCAATTCACGTACTGTTTTTGGTTGGGGTATCTGACTTATCGCTGCAACCCTATCTGGCATGGGACTGACGCCTGCAGGGGTTACGCGGCAGTCTAAACATCTTACCTCAGATTGACCAAGGATGCATTTGGATGGGTTGATCTGTACTCCATGTTCTTTGAAACGTTCTAGGACGGTCTGGAGGTGTTCCCAATGTTCTGCTTCGCTGGTCGAGGCCACTAACACATTGTTGAAGTAGGGCACACAAAAGTAGGACTTGATGAATGAACCGTTGGAAGGTCTGTGCAGCGTTGCATAATCCTAAACCACTCGAACAACCCTTCGGGTTGTTCGAGTTCCTATAATCCTAAACCACTCGAACAACCCGAAGGGTTGTTCGAGTGGTTTAGGATTATGCAACGCTGCACAGACCTTCCAACGGTTCATTCATCAAGTCCTACTTTTGTGTGCCCTACTTCAACAATGTGTTAGTGGCCTCGACCAGCGAAGCAGAACATTGGGAACACCTCCAGANAATTTAACTCCAAATTTAAATTTTGGAGTTGATGGAAATGCCATTTCCATCAACTCCAGCAGATTGGAAAAAAATTTCTGATGATTTTGAAAGAAGATGGCAACTACCTCACTGCTGTGGTAGTATTGATGGAAAACATGTTGTTCGAGAGTGTCCAAAGTCTTAATTAAAACTATAAGGGAACTTTTAGTACAGTCTTACTAGCCGAATCTGATGCACATTATCGTTTTCTGATGATTGATTATGGGCATTTTGGTAGCGAATCAGATGGTGGAATTTTAAGTAAAAGCGTATTTGGTCAGCATCTGGTCAATGGAAAGTTAACCTTTCCAAAAGCAGATGCTTTGCCAAATTCAAATACACTGTTCCCTTATTCTATAATTGGGGATGAAGCCTTTCCTTTAAGGCATAATTTGTTGCGTCCCTATTCCAGACATTCTGAGTTTAGTCATTCGGAAAAAATATACAATTACAGATTAAGCAGAGGCCGGCGTGTTGTGGAGAATGCTTTTGGTATTCTAGCAGCACGATTTCGTATTTTAAGGAGACCATTAAATTATGATGATGAATCAGTCAAATGCATGGTGCTTGCTAGTTGCGTTCTCCACAATATGCTTATTCAGAAATCTGCAGCATATTGCCCAAATGGATATGTTGATTGTGAAGATTCTGATTATAATCAGAATGAAGGTATATGGAGATCCGAAAATATAACTCTTGAAAATCTTAAAAAAGTGGGCAGCAATATGTACAATAAAGAGGCAAAAAGTCTCAGGAACATTTATAAAGATTATTTATGTAATGAGGGAGCTGTACCTTGGCAAGAAAAATTAATTCAATTCCAACCTAAAGTATAGTATACTTTATATAGGTTGTATTAGCTCAGAATAAATATTACTCCTCTGATCTAATACATTTTTATTGAGTAAATGGAATGTTTTAAATCATGTTCTTTTGTGAAAAAATAAAACTAATAAATCCTAGATACTTTTGTTTGTCTTAATCATATATATAGTTTTTAACTTCTTAATGTAGACAACAATTTCTATTATTACAGTCTGTTACAAAAGTATAGGAACACCACTTAAAAGTCTCTTAAAAAATAATCTATGATAATAATAATTAAAATCATCATGATTAGGGTGAGATGTCATCATTTTTAACTGTCACGATGGCTTTTTTGAATGTTTTATTGAATGTTATATAAACATTTTCAACAATGGCACTGAAAATGTTTTCCAACAAGGTAAAAATTATGGGCAAAAAAAGGAACTCAGGATGGCCTAAACGTTTAACTTCCAGGAATGAGAGAGAAGTTTTGAAGTTTATAACTAATAAAAACGTCAACAAGGCTAGTTGCTGCTAAATTACCATTAGATATATCTCATGTGACTGTTTGGAGAACTTTAAAAAACAATGACAATTTAAAATATTTAAAAATGAAGTTGAAAACCACCTTTAACTGCCAAACACAAATCAATGCATTTAAACTGGGCTAAAGTCAAGATGGAATGAACTGATGAATGGCAAGAAATAATGTTTAGTGATGAGAAGAAGTTTAATTTAGATGACCCTGATGGGTTTTTGTATTATTGGCATGATTTAATAAGAGAAAGCAGAGTTAAAGTAAGCTGGCAAGAAAGGGCTGGGTCTGTAATGATTTGGGGTGGCTTTGGAGGTAAATGGGATGGATGATTTAGTATTTGTTGACAAAATATGATCACATTTGGTGCATTAATTGGAGTCATAAATGGCAGTTTCAATGAGATAATGCACCTGTTCATGCCTCAATGTCAACAAAAAATTGGTTAAAAAAAATATTGATGTAATTGACTGGCCTTCATTTAGTCCAGATTTAAATCCCATTGAAAATTTATGGGAGATTTTA